TGGGGGTGCTGACTCTGGGGGTGCTGACTCTGGGGGTGCTGAGCATGTGGGTACTACGACTAGGGGTGCTGAGCCTGGGGGTGCTCAGTCTGGGGGTGCTGAGCCTGAGGGTGCTACGCCTGGGGGTGCTGAGCCTGGGGGTACTGAGCCTGGGGGTGCTACGCCTGGAGGTGCTGAGCCTGAGGGAGCTGAGCCTGCTCGTGGGGCGTCTGGCGGTGCTGAGCCTGGCGGTTCCCCGGGTGCTTCGTCTCGCCGGGAGCCACTCTCTCCACAGGAGCTGCGTGAGTGGTTTGCCCGGCGCTGGAGGCGAGCTGCTGGAGCTGGAGGTGCTGCGGGTACTGAAGGTTCTACTGCTGCTATGGGTGCTGGTGCCGCAGGTCTCGGCGGTGCTCGTACTCGGAGTACTGGAGCTGCTGGGCTTGCGGGTACTTCTGGAGCGGGAGCTGCTTTGGGTGCTGGCGCGGAGGCTATTGCTGTCGGTCCTGGAGGCGGTCTTGCTGAGGGTGCTACTGGTACTGCTGGAGGTACTGGAGCTGGAGGTGCTGCTGGTGTTGGTGCTGCCGCTGGGGGTACTGGTGCTGTCCCTGCTGTGTCTGGAGTCGTCGCGCGGCCTCGGCCGTACTTCGTTCCGCTCCTTCAGCAGGTTCTTGGTCTCCTGCCTTCTACTGGTCCTCCTCCTCCCTTAGAGTGTCCACAGCCTGTCCCGTCACAGTTACAGTTACAGCCGGCCTCCCCACTGCCTGCTCCGTCTCCCTACACTGGTCCTACTGGAGGTCTTGCTGAGCGTCGTGAGCCTGCGTCTCGCCCTGCGTCGCCTGTCCGTGCTGCTCGCACTAGTGGTCGCGGTATGCGTCAGCGTCCTCCTCCTGTCCCTGGCACGCACCGGATGTCTCTGCGTCCGTCCACTGCTCACCATGAACTTCTTGGTGAATGGGTCCCAAAGGAGCCACCCCTTGCTGTTTTGAGCCATGCCCAAGTGCACGGCCCACACCGCCTTGGCACCAAGCTTGTTGTGCCGAAGATGCTTAGGTACGAGCGCCATGCACATGCACCCGAACACCCGAAGCATATCCACCTTTGGCTTCCTTCCAAGCCACTCTACATACGGCACCCATTTGTCTGCTCCCACATGAGTCAAAACTCTGTTCTTGGCCACACACGCGCTCCGCACCGCATCAGGCCAGAAGTAGTCGGGTAGCCCGGCTTCAATGAGCAACCCGCGTGCCGCCTCCGTGATCGTCCGGTTCGCTCGCTCGGCGATGCCGTTCATTGCAGGGGAGTATGGCATGGTGAGGGAGTGCCGAATGCCATTCTTCTTCAGCCACAACCCAAACTCCTTGCTCAGGAACTCTCCCCCTCGATCGGTGCGGATCGACTTCACTAGACGGTCTTGTTGCCGCTCCACCATCGGGAACCAATTCGTCTTCAATGTTTCAGCCACGTCGCTCTTCTTGGCCAGCACGTACACCCAAGTCATGCGGGTGTAGACGTCGACAATGGTGAGGAAATATTCAGCTCCAGCAGCTCCAAGCTTCAGGGGGCCCACCACGTCCATCACCACCTCATCAAGTGGTGCCTTAGCCGTTGTCTCCGAGCTCGAGAACGGAAACCGCGTGAACTTGGCTTGCATGCACGTCGGGCAGCCAAGCACCTCATCGGACTCCGCCTTCACACGTATGCCAGCAACCATCTGGTTCTTCACTAGCTGCTGCAAGATGGGCAGGGCCACATGCCCCATGCGCCGATGCAAAGTCAACCAATCACACTCCCCCGTAGCCGAAGTCGGATTGGAGAATGCCGCGCTCGCAATAGCGCCCCACATGCTCTCTCCGTACTCCTCCTCCGCTGTTGCCTCGGGGTTCTCCTCACCCTTGTGCTGCTCCTTGGCTGCTGCGCCACTCTCCTTAGGACCATACAGCTTGCTGGTCCCTCCAAATTTGCTCTTCTTGAGCTCGTTCTCCTTAGCGCGACCGTTCGCGCCATCGCCGCTACCAAGCGCTTCTCCTGGTGCTGACATCCCTATCCTCATGAAGGTCCCAAAGAATCCGGTCACCAATCCTTGCGGTGTAGGTCTTGGCCCCCTTCGAGTTCGTGTCCATGCCGGCCTTCGCCAACCGCCGCACGGAAATCAGGTTTGCAGCAAGGCTGGGCACCCAAAGCACGTTCTTGAGGCCCACCATCTTCCCATCAGCACCCTTGAACATGGCCTTCCCCATGCCTTTTACCTCTGCTCGCTGCCCCAAAGCCGATGTGACATGCTTCACCGATGACGGTTCAAGTTCGGTGAGCAAGTCCGGGCGAGGTGTCATGCTATAGGTAGCGCCACTGTCGATCACCCAATAGTCCAGGGGGTGTAGGGTCACCTTCCCTACTGCTGCTGGCTCGTCAAGGTCTTCATCCTTCTCTGGACCAGCCGGTACTTGCGTCGACACGAAGTAGAATAGGCCCGGGTACCGATCGCCGCTCGGGTCCTTGTCGTTATCTTCGCTCTTCACATTTGCAGCACCGCCACCGCGACCGCCACGGCCTCCACGGCCTCTTCCTCTCCACCCCTCCTGCTCCTTTACCCTCTTGGCCTTGAGCAGGGGTCCATCCTTCAGGGAGTTTGAAGCAATCGCGCCACATATGTCCGCTCTTGCCGCAATAATGACATTCGCCGTCGAATCGACCGCGACCGCGTCCGTAGCTCTTGTCGACGCTGCCGTAACCGCCGTTCCCGCGGCCTCCACTGAAGTTGCCGCCACCAGATCTTCCTCCCCCTCGTCCTCTGCCTCTTCCTCGGCCATATCCACGGCCGACGCTAGCTGCCCCAGCGCCATCCGCACTCGCCAACTCACGGCGGCGGAAGTCCTCTTGTAGGATCGCGCGCTTCACGTCTTCAAGCGAGAGACGGGGCAGGTCACGGTTCAAATTGATGATGAGCGAGGACCACGACTCGGGGAGTAAGGCCAGTAACTTGGTCTTCTTCTGGAGCTCACTGTAGTTCAAATCAGCTCCCTCTAGCCGCGTCAACAAGTCGAAGAATTTCTGCACCCCGTCTTCCACGGGTTCATCTTCCTCAATTCGTAGCGTCGCCATTTGCCGTTCCAACACCACAGCTACCACCGCTGTTGCAGGAGCGTGTACACCCTTGAGAGCAGCCCATGCCTTTGGTCCTTTCTCTGGTTCACGCTGGAAAGGCTTGATGTGACGGATCTGGTTGCTTCCCAACGCTTGCCCAAGTAGAAGATAGCCTTGTGCGCTCTTCCGCACCCACGGGCTCTTCTCCGGGTCGTTCTCGGGACGCTTCTCCGTTCCTTCCATCACCTCCAGCAGGTCATAATGGTCGAACATGTTCTCCATTCTGAAGGACCATTCAGCAAAGTTGTCGCCGTTGAACTTGTCAAGCCCGAACGCTCTTGGTTCATCCCTAGAAGGTCCAAGAGTAGGTTGCACGGGCGCCACGGCTGAATCACGGGCTTGGCCTTGTGCTTGGGCATCTCCATTGCCGCCAGCACCTCTGCCACCCCTTTCTCCAGGTCCAGTCATAGTCGTAGCCGCTCCAAGGGGCTCTGATACCACTTGTTATAGTCACAGTAGGCTTCAATGTGCCTAAAACTAAGGATAGAGTGCACTGTCGGATTTGTGCACAGCGGCTTTAAACGTTTATAGCGATCTGCTCACAACTACAAATGTTTACGAGAGAACGCGAGGACATCGGCTCCTAGGTGCTAAGGTACGTGAGTCCCTTCGAGTGAAAAATCAAAAGTTGATTTCCTGAGGTGCGGAGATGCGCGGTCCGAAAGGAAAGAGGCTCAGATACCAAGTGTTACAGGTGCAATGAATCGAAGTAGCGAGAATTGCACTAAGGTGTCAAACGAGTACAAAATGTGAGCGAAGGCATGAGCGAACATTCATACGCGAAACATGCAAACGGTAACGCGGTGCGTGCGAGCTAGCTAGTGCTACGCTGGAAGCGAGGCTCGGGCTAGTCCCGAAGCGTAGGCCGACACGGCCAGGCCAGCAGTGTGAGGTTTGGTGAAACAGTGCGCGCGAAGTCGGCGAAGCCCCGTTAGCAGTAACGGGCGAACAACGGCTGCTGCTGTACACGATGTTGCAGGGTGCGCTAAGGAATATCGAGAAAATTCCTTACAAGATTGGAAATTGGAATGTGCAGTTACATGTTTTGGTCGGTGTACATTGTCACTCAGTAAAAGTTATCTTGTCACCCGCACATTTGTCTTGTATAATACGGTACATAGTGGAATATTTGTTTTGTTTCATACAATGCTCGAACACAAAGTTTGCACTACTTGGTTTCTATGGCGGTACACTGGGATTTTTTTGGGGCAAGGGGGGTCTGGATGGAGCAGTTGATTGGGATGAGGACGCTTTCTGGAAGAAGCGAGGGGTGAAATCTTCTGCTTTTATACCAAGCTGCTTTTGCAGCCGCAAAACATCATCCTCAGCTCGCCGCAGTCTTTGCCATGCTCGGGCAGAATAAAACCCCATCAAGGCTGCAGGAGTCATGGGATAGGGAGAGGGGAAGGGGGAGAGGAGGGAAGATGGGGGGGAGGCTGTGATATGAGAATGTGATCTGAGTGAGGGTGCGCCAAAGAGAATCAGTAGTGGCAACGAAACGAAACAGCTAACACTTTGAAACTAAGAAGGTAAATGGATGGATGATGGATGATGGATGATGGGATGCCAGTGACACGGCAGCAACACGCAACTGTCAGAAGGAAAGATATCCATACCAAAGGTAACGCCATAGGATGCCCACACATATGGATAGTCCTCGCAGTGCTGACGCATCGCCACGACTGCTGACGTGGCACGATCCAGCAGTGATGATGTGGACGAGTCTGATGTGGGCGAACCTCCTGCAGTGGCCTCATCTCGTGGTGGGCGCTCCATTGCCGGTACAAGACGACCTACGCCACCCTCTTCCTTTCTTCTCGCGTCAAAACTGACCCACTGCCCGATGGTTTTCGTTCTTGCTGTCCGACCCTCTGCCTGCCCTACATGTGGTTCCTCTGCCCCGGGTGTGCTCCTCTGCCCCGGGTGTGCTCCTCTGCCCCAGGTGTGCTCCTCTGCCCCGGGTGTGCTCCTCTGCCTGACAGTGGGAACGCCGATCAGGCAGCAGCAACAGGAAGCTGAATCGGAACAGCGAACGGCGCAAAGGAGCAAAGGTGCAGAGCCCAAAGGAGCTCTGCCACAGGAGGAGCACGCGGATGCCCGGGCGACCTGCAGCGAGACAGATTGACGTGCGATGAGTCGTGTTGAAATGAGAGCATGAACAAAATGAGTTCACGAGACGAGAGGTGATGCGATAGGAGGAGAGGGGAGGAGAAGGGAGAAGAGGGGGCAAGAGGAGGTGAGAGGACGGGAGGGAACAACTTGCACCGTAGGGGGCATGGTGCAAAGGAAGTGAGAGAAATTGCTTGAGCACAGCACATCAAAACGAAAGAGAGAAAAGGCGGGAAGGGGTCAAAACGGGGTGGGGGCAAGACGGGGCGGCGGAGGACTCGGGGAGAGGGAGGGTAGAGTGGGGGAGGGGATTTGGGAAGACAGTGAGGGAGGAATGAAGAGGTCCAGAGAGAAAGAGGAAACAGCGGGCGAAGGAAATGCGGGGGAGAAGGGATTAAGAGGCTCGAGCGATAAAGGGAAGGTAATAAGAGAAAGCGAGGCGGCGAAGAGTCGTTGCGACAGTAGCAGGGGTCACGAATCGGGGGAGGGGGAAGAAAGCCGCAGCGCGGACAAGGGGGTACGGGAGCTGCCGCGGGGGCGGGCCGACGGCGTGAGTGGCAGGGGAGGGAGTCGAAAGCGGGGGCGAGAGGGGCGATGGTATGGAGAGTGCAAAGCGAGGGAAGCGCATAACACACACTGTCGGCTTAGAGCGACATGGGCGCGGATCGGAGAGTAGGAATGAGGCGTTCGTGAGGTGAGAAGTGAGGGGTGAGGGCGAGCGCGTGGGGAGCAAGGGCGACGGGCGAGAGAGATCGAGACGAGGGTTGCGATGCGAGGGGGCACGGACTGCCTAGCGATGTGGATTCGCACCTGCTGCGACTGGGGAACGAGGAGCGCTGATGATGCGACGCTGACGATCGATGCGACCAGCGCACAGACGATCCTTGAGGCACCCACCGATCGCACACACGGATCCCGAAGTAGCTGAAACACGGGAATTCGCGGGACAGTTTTGTCTGGGTCAGTAATTTGTAGCGTGACGTTTGGCTGAGGTCTTACGAAGGGGAGGGTGTGTTCAGAAAACGCAGCAGTTTTTGGACCACATCGAGAACCTTGTTGCAAGTCAAGCAAACAAAAATCACAACCTTCGGAGGAACCTTATTTCAGGTGCAGAAGGCTGGTGCGAATCAATCTTGCAACCGCGCGAGCTGAATCGGTGTGGAAAAGCTGAACCGAGCCTGCTCTGTTGGGCGACAGACATGAATCTGCCTCGAGATGTCTGACGCGGGCACAGGCTACTCACCTTCCGTATATGGTTGGTGGCGATTGAATTAGCGCTGTCGACGGCGCCTTTTGCGCCAAATTGCCTCCAGCAGCTCGGGCAGGCGCTCGTTTTAGGTTTTTGTTTCCGTTGTGCCCCGCAGCGCTCTTTCCGTCGCTGCTGCGGTAACTGCTCGCTAGGATGTCGCACAATCCGAGTCACCTCCTCGTGTATCATGTCGGTCTCCCTCGCCGATCCCCTCATGCCACTTGCGACGGAAACGACCAGCCACGCAAGTTCGACAACAAATTCCGCGTGTATCCCGCGCTTATTCGTAATGCACATTTGTTCGTCAATAGCTCATCTCGCCGCTTCCTTCCAGTCATTCATTCATCTCGCCTCTTGCTTCCGCTGATCAATCCATCCAAGCCGTCTTTCAGGGCATGTGTGCTCTTTCCACGTGGCAGGGCTAATTGACACGTGCACTGGGTGTCAGATAATGGTGATCCTGACTCAGCATTTCTTCCCTTGCGTGCGTCCTCTATTTGCTTCTCTGCTTTCCTTCCGTCCTTCATCAACTATTGTAGCCTCTTATACTCTAGACTGCATCCCAAAGACTGCTCACATACACTGCCTCCCTGCCGGTCCCCCCCTTCCGCCTCTTCCCCCCTCGTCTCCACTTCCAAATTCTCACCGCCTTTCGCCACTTTTTGTTGCCACCCGCCTCCACTCCACATGCACAAAGCATGCAACCCACAGGGTCGAATCCCCATGCGTTCCTCCCAGGTTTCCCTTTCGCGCTCCCTTGGTCCGCAATGCTTCCACGCGACCCCTCTGGCAGCTCGTCCGTGGCGGGAAGCCCATAAGGGAGGGACTTACATGTTGAGGCTGGCTGCAATCGTGGAAGCCCATGGCGTGTTCCGGTAAAAAGAAGAGTCTCCGCGACAGCTCACTCTTCAATTCAATCATTAGTCCCTTCCTGCCCCTCCCTGCCCCCTCTCTGCCCCTTCCTGCCCCTTCCTGCCCCTTCCTGCCCCTTCCTGCCCCTTCCTGCCCCTTCCTGCCTCTTCCTGCCCCTTCCTGCCCCTTCCTGCCCCTTCCTGCCCCTTCCTGCCCCTCCCTGCCCCCCCCTGCCCCTTCCTGCCCCTTCCTGCCCCTTCCTGCCCCTTCCTGCCCCTTCCTGCCCCTTCCTGCCCCTTCCTGCCCCTTCCTGCCCCTCCCTGCCCCCCCCTGCCCCTTCCTGCCCCTCTCTGACACTTACTGACACACACTCTTGCAGATTCTGTCACGTTGTCATGCATACACACAGTTTTTACAGCCCGTGTTCTTATTGAGGTCACCTTGTTTCATGCCAGCATCCCTTCCTTGCACTTTCACCTGCTTGTTTTGTGTTCTTCCCTGCTTGCTCTCCTGCTTACTTTCCAGCCCGCCTCGCATAATCTGGTGGCATGTCTGTCTGTCTGTCTGTCTGTCTGTCTGTCTGTCTGTCTGTCTGTCTGTCTGTCTGTCTGTCTGTCTGTCTGTCTGTCTGTCTGTCTGTCTGTCTGTCTGTCTGTCTGTCTGTCTGCCTGCCTGCCTGCCTGCCTGAATGCCTGCCTGCCTGCCTGCCTGCCTGCCTGCCTGCCTGCCTGCCTGCCTGCCTGCCTGCCTGCCTGCCTGCCTGCCTGCCTGCCTGCCTGCCTGCCTGCCTGTCTGTCTGTCTGTCTGTCTGTCTGTCTGTCTGTCTGTCTGTCTCTCTGTCTGTCTGTCTGTCTGTCTGTCTGTCTGTCTGTCTGTCTGTCTGTCTGTCTGTCTGTCTGTCTGTCTGTCTGTCTGCCACGTCCCATTCAAGTGGCCACGGCCCACCAACTTCAAAGCCATCTACCTCCTCCCATCGCCCAACCACCCAGCTCTCCATCCTTTCACCTGCCCTTTTTTCGTTCAGTTTGTCCTCTTCTTCTTTCACGTGCTCTTGTCTATGTCGGTAACTCTCTCCCACACCCCTTTGCTCCACTGCTCACCCTCGTGGCCTTCCTCTACCTCGCTCTGCCTTCCTATGCCTACCTCTGCCTACCTCTGCCTACTTCTGCCTACCTCTGCCTACCTCTGCCTACCTCTGCCTACCTCTGCCTACCTCTGCCTACCTCTGCCTACCTGCGCCTACCTGTGCCTCGTCCCACTCTTGCCTTGCCTCTGAACCACCCACTTCCCACCTTCCATCCTCACTCCCCGGCCCGCCATGTCTTGCCTTTGTACCCACCTTTACTATGCCTCCCTTCCATTTCTTTCTTCCTCCACGTCTTCATTGGCCCACGCCTAGGACTCATCTGCTCAGGTTTCTCTTTTTAAAAAAAGCTCCTTGACCACCCACTGTCAGCCATGGCCTTGTAAAGAACCGCAAATGAAGCAAAAAGAATGCTAGCAGTAATGAGCAAGAACATGCAAGCAGTATCCATCCTCTGCCCAATCCTGCTATGACCACCTCCCTACCCATGGCGAGCTCCACTAAGACGAGCGTAGGGCTCTAGCGCATGGCCGCCCAGATCTGCCGCCCTCTCTTCCTCCACCTGCCCGGCAAGCACTTTCAGCTGGCTTGAGCTTGATGGGTCCTGTAACAGGGAAGCAAACCCACTCATGCGCATTCCGAATTGTCAAGCCAGCTCGTCATCCCCTGCACGGCCCCCCACCACTCCCCACTGCCTACTTGCAATCCACCCTCGCCGCTGCACCCTTTTCCTGCAATCCTTGAGCTTCCCATTCGTTACCTCGCACCCACCTCTTTATTATGTACATTATTTACGATATGTACGCCCCACACCTCATTACTCGTCAGCCTTATGCAGTGACCGCTGCATAATCTGACATCTATCTGCTTCATCAACCTCAATTCATTCCCACCTTCATTTGAGAATTCTTTTGGCTTTCAACCTTCCTGTCTTTTTCTGTCAAAGGTGCAGCATGGTTCAGCATGGTGTGCAACCTTACTCGAATCTCCTAAATCATGCAAACACCTTAGAACTGAAAGAAAAGAGGGCAGGTGAACTGAGACAACTTCTGAGGCGCCTAAATAGGGGCATCATCAAGCACAACCTTACTCAAATCTCCTGAAAGGGTGTATTGTACCTATATGTACCTATATGTACCTATATGTACCTATATGTACATATATGTACCTATATGTACCTATATGTACCTATATGTACATATATGTACCTATATGTACCTATATGTACCTATATGTACCTATATGTACCTATATTTTGTTTTGGCTCTCATTCTCCCTCACTCCCTCCCTTCATCCCAATGCTTGCCAAGGGGAGGTGGTAATTGCTCTGCTGAGATTGAAAGGTGCAAGGTGGGTAGGGCTGATGCAACAAGAGACAGTGGAGGCAATGCGCGTTGCACTCAAAGGGCCGACCTTCCCCTCAACGTAGCCAAGGGTGAGTTGCCTTCCCCCCTGCTGCTATCGCGTGGTTTGGTTACCGGCTCAGCATGCTTGCTTTGGTTACCGGCTCAGCATGCTTGCTTTGGTTACCGGCTCAGCATGCTTGCTTTGGTTACCGGCTCAGCATGCTTGCTTTGGTTACCGGCTCAGCATGCTTGCTTTGGTTACCGGCTCAGCATGCTTGCTTTGGTTACCGGCTCAGCATGCTTGCTTTGGCCAGTCTCCTTGTTTCTTGGTGTTCACTTGATGAGTGGCATTTCAGAGAGTGTGACTGCAGGTGGTGTGAGTGAAAGGAGTGTGATATGCGGGAAAGATGCATGGTCTTGTGAGATGGAGAGCAGAGAGATGGGAGGAAAAGAGGAGAGCGGGGGCGGAGGCGCTAAAGGGAGCAGGAGGGTGGATGGAGGAGCATGGATGGAGGAGCATGGATGGAGGAGCATGGATGGAGGAGCATGGATGGAGGAGCGCGAGAGGAAGTGCAAGGCGAGGAATCTAGAATGGATGGGATGGGGGTGAAGCTGCAGCGATTCTTGAGGCACCTCAAAAAGCACCTCTATGCTTTAGGATGGATGCGGGTGAAGCTGCAGCAGGAGAGGCTGTGAGCAACAGTGACAGGCCATTATGAGAGGGCTGCAGTGACAGAGAGGCCATGATGAGAGGGCTGCACTGCAACTGGCAGTTGCTTTGCTGGGTGTTGGCCAGCAGGCATGATATGGAAAGCTTATATTGATATTATAAAATAGGATATTTCATATGCTATTATTCGATGTGCTATATATCGAACGAACGACCACCTTATTGTGGCGAAGCATTTGTACACTCTAAGCGATTGGCCAGCAACACCTACATGAACATCATGGCCAGTCCTAAAACAGTAAGTGTGGACCATAACTTGGTCGGTTGGATGTGCCGCCGGCCTGAAGACTCATCTGCAATAATACGCGGCAGAAAATGTGGAAGAACATGTTGATTAGGTTTGGAGGCAACGGTACTTCGAGAAGGAACAAGGGACAACCAAGGTTTACACATGGACGAAACGTCTTGCTGGGTGTAGACATTGTGGGGGGGAAGCAAGCAACGAGTGGACAAACGTAACGACCGTTACAGTTGTAACAGTTTTCTGCCGCGTTCTTCCCCCCCATAATTCGTTGGGCGGGGAATGAATTATCGTACCGTAGCTGTAGTCGGGCGGGTTTTCAAAGATGGCAGGGGAGGAGCGGATGATAGCACTGGTGGTGGTGTTGATGAGCTTCCCCGAGGTGCCTGGGTTGAGTGGGAGTGCGGGGAGAAGTGGGAATGGGTGTTGGTGAATGCATGTGATGAGAAGAGGAGTAAGGCCAAGAGCGGGGAGTAAGGCCAAGAGCGATCTTGATTCTCAATTCATTTGTTTAAGGGCGAAGAGGAGGGTGAATTGCAAGTGTTTGGTGAGGATGAATGGAGAGCATGTACAGTTCATGGGCACGTACAGTTCATGGGCACGTACAGTTCATGGGCACGTACAGTTCATGGGCACGAATCCAATCGTGTTCTTCTCGTGGTTGAAAAGCACGTCGTTGTTGCGCAGCCACGACCCTGCCAGCAGGCCACCAGACGGAAGGAGGTGAGTGCGGCACAACATTGAAGGGAGAGAACCCGATGCCACAGACGCATAATACAATGACTGAACAAGGCTTGGAAACGCACACTAAACAAACAAATGAAGGGGAAAATCACACAGTACAGTGCACACAAAGCAGCCCACATGGATGGCGCGTCGCGCACCTCCTATGTATGTGGTGTTGGACTCCCGGTATCCAATGGCTGCTATGCACAGCAGTGTGTCGTTCTGCTTGCATGCAGGCAGTGGGGAGACAGAAGGCGTGAGAACACACATGTGTTGAGATTGAGACACATACGGTACGTAGTCGTTTGCTCTAGTGCTCCGAATGAACGGCAGTAGGCACACACACACACACACGCATGGCATCCACATTGGATCACACGCACACACACAGTGTATAGCACACACACGTGGTGTAAAGCACACACACATGGTGTAAAGCACACACACATGGTGTAAAGCACACACACATGGTGTAAAGCACACACACATGGTGTAAAGCACACACACATGGTGTAAAGCACACACACATGGTGTAAAGCACACACACATGGTGTAAAGCACACACACATGGTGTAAAGCACACACACATGGTGTATAGCACACACACATGGTGTAAAGCACACACACATGGTGTAAAGCACACACACATGGTGTAAAGCACACACACATGGTGTAAAGCACACACACATGGTGTAAAGCACACACACATGGTGTATAGCACACACACATGGTGTAAAGCACACACACATGATGTAAAGCACACACACATGGTGTAAAGCACACACCACATGGTGTAAAGCACACACACATGGTGTAAAGCACACACACATGGTGTAAAGCACACACACATGGTGTAAAGCACACACACATGGTGTAAAGCACACACACATGGTGTAAAGCACACACACATGGTGTAAAGCACACACACATGGTGTAAAGCACACACACATGGTGTATAGCACACACACATGGTGTAAAGCACACACACATGGTGTAAAGCACACACACATGGTGTAAAGCACACACACATGGTGTAAAGCACACACACATGGTGTAAAGCACACACACATGGTGTATAGCACACACACATGGTGTAAAGCACACACACATGATGTAAAGCACACACACATGGTGTAAAGCACACACACATGGTGTAAAGCACACACACATGGTGTAAAGCACACACACATGGTGTAAAGCACACACACATGGTGTAAAGCACACACACATGGTGTAAAGCACACACACATGGTGTAAAGCACACACACATGGTGTAAAGCACACACATGGTGTAAAGCACACACACATGGTGTATAGCACACACACATGGTGTAAAGCACACACACATGGTGTAAAGCACACACATGGTGTAAAGCACACACACATGGTGTATAGCACACACACATGGTGTAAAGCACACACACATGGTGTAAAGCACACACACATGGTGTAAAGCACACACACATGGTGTATAGCACACACACATGGTGTAAAGCACACACACATGGTGTAAAGCACACACACATGGTGTAAAGCACACATACATAACTTGTAAGAAAAGGATCTGTGAAGCTATGAAGAAAACCATTCCCCGTGTGTGGGGGTGGATTGAAAGCGCACCTTGTGGAAGAGGTAGTTGTAGGCGGGGACGGCCCACAGCAGGTTGGCCGAGAAGTCGAGCTGGAGAGGCGGGTACGTGGATGCCAGCTCTGCACTGGACCTGGTCGGGGCAGGGCAAGGGGGAAGAGCAAGGAGGATAGGAAGTGGGGATGAGCAGGGGGGAAGAGAAGGGGGGGTGAGCAGAGTGGAGGAGCAGGGGGAAGCGGCAAGGGGCAAGTGGCATGAGCAAGTGAAGGCCATGGTGAACAGTTCGACAATCGTGTTGTGTTCAGTGGTGATGGAACTCATGGTGCTGCACTGCCGGATGCCAGTCAGCAGCGTGCATGGATACATGACTCGTTTGGAGACGTCTCAAAACAGCAGCCTGTGTGGCTTGTGAACACGTAATGCCAGCGACTCTTGACTCCACGCCCTGACAATAAGTGCAGGGAATGTGTGAGAGGGGCCCGGACGAGCTCACATGCGTTTGGGCGAGCTCACATGCGTTTGGGCGAGCTCACATGCGTTTGGGCGAGCTCACATGCGTTTGGGCGAGCTCACATGCGTTTGGGCGAGCTCACATGCGTTTGGGCGAGCTCACATGCGTTTGGGCGAGCTCACATGCGTTTGGGCGAGCTCACATGCGTTTGGGCGAGCTCACATGCGTTTGGGCGAGCTCACATGCGTTTGGGCGTGCGCAGGCAGCGGAAGAACCCCGACCACCTCATGGACTGGTTCACTGCCTTCTCCAACTGCATGGGTGAGGATGGGCGTGGATGGACGTGGATGGTGAGGGGTACAGGCAGGTTGTAGGAGGAGGTGGGCAGAAAACAAAAAACGCAAAAAGGCTGACGCAATTACAGAAGAGAAAACGGAAGGATGGCTGGCTGTCAGCATAAAGAGCAAGAAAAAACACAGAGCAAATGAAAAGCACTGCTCATGAACGAGAGGAAACGCGAATACAAGCATGTTTAGATCTTGGCAGCGAAACGAGCACAGGAGCAGAGCAGCGGGAGACTGACAGCGGAGGTGAGAGCAGAGAAGATGGGCGCAGGCAGGGCCGTGAATGTCGACCCACTGTCTATCACCGCTCCCCCCGACACCGCCCCTGTAGGCAGCGACCCCCCCGCCGTGCCCCCGCTGCCATCGCCCTCCCCATCCCCCCCGCCACTGTCACCCGCGCCCCCACCTCCCCCCATGTCCGCAGCAGCCCCATCGCCCCCCAAGAAGGAGGTGCCAGAGGCGGGCGTGGAGAGGCCGTGTGGGGGCGGGGCGACGGTGATGGCGGTGGTGCCGTTGGGCAGGGGGATGGGCGCCCAGTTGAGGTAGAGCGCCAGCAGAGGCAGGCGGTACACCGTGCTGAGAGGGGGTGGGGAAGGGGGTGGGAGAGGCAGACGGGGAAAGCAAAAGGAAGAGTTGAGTGGGGAACGACAAGTGTGGTGGTGCCGTTGGGCAGGGGGATGGGCACCCAGTTGAGGTAGAGCGCCAGCAGAGGCAGGCGGTACACCGTGCTGGTGGGGTGGAAGGGGCGTGGGGAGAGGCAGATGGGAGGTAGGAGGAGAGGGAGGAAGAGTTGAATGGCGAGTGAGAAGTGTCTTCCTGTCGTTAGGCGGGGGGGTGGGCGATCGGTGGAGGTGCAGGGCGGGCAGGGGCAGGCGGTATACTGTGCTGGGGGGGGTGCGGAAGGGGAGCAGGGGAGTGAGAAGGGGTGGCCTTGGGAAGCCTTGGGAAGGGGAGCAGGGGTTTTCAGGTTGAAGTATAGTGCAAGCAGCGGTAGGCGATACACAGTGCTGAGGGGGGGAGGAAAGAGGGATGGGGAATTGGGGCAATGGGTGTGGTGTGGCGTGCAACAGCAACAGCAACAGCAGGGAAACGCCGTCCAGTCCAGAGTAGCAACCCTCGCCGTCACAGGTAACTAAACTGGGCCAGGGGCGCGGGGACAGTGGCGTTGCTATGCTTGTATCCCTCCCCACAAGAATCCGCAAGCGCCTCACAGGTCATCAGAGGGTGCGAGGGGAGCAGTGACGGTGGCATTAGTAACGGGCAGGCGCCGCCTCCCCAGCACGAGGTGGCCCCCGCGCTGGCGGCCCTCCAGGCAGAGCGAGAAGGACTCGTGCAGCACGCCCTGTGCTGCCAGCTGTGTGACTATAGAGAGCGGGCCGCGGCCCAGCCCCATGACCCCGCTGAGGGACGCTGTGGAGGAGGGCGACGCGAGGCGCCCCGTCTGGTGCACTCCACAGCTGGGGTGGTGGGGGGTTGGGGGGAGGGGGGTGGAGAGACGGGAGGGGGAGAGAGGCGGGGCGGGGCGTTGAGGGTGAAGGAGACTGTATGCTGCTGCTGGAGGCGCTTGGGTGGGTGTGCATGGAAAAAGGTCAGGTGTGAGGCGTTAACGAAAAGGTCAGGTGTGAGGCGTTAACGAAAAGGGTAGGTGTGAGTGAGATGTATAAAAAAACACAGCAAGAGGGTGGGGAGGGGGGAGGTGGCAGCAAGTCGCTTCATGCAGTGATGTTGGAGGGGGGGAGGCACCCAAAAGCGATGGTGGCGTTGGCGGAGTTATTGGAGGTGGAGTGGAGAGCGAGCGAGTCAAAGAGCACATCCCCCGCCGTGGTGCTGCCGTCCCCATACTGCAGCATGTACTGACACCGCCGGCTCGCGCGCACGCCCCCCACCTGATGAAGGGGACACGATGGAGAGAGGTGGGATAACTTTGGAGGAAGAGCGCGAGGGAGAGTGAGAGGGGGATGAGGAGGAGGACGAAACCATATGGCAGCATGTACTGGCCCCGCCGGCTCGTGCGCACGCCCCCCACCTGATGAGGGGGACACGATGGAGAGAGGGAATAAGGGGAAAGGAGGAAGGGTCCGAGGGAGAGTGAGAGGCGAATGAGGAGGAGCAAGCCATACGGCAGCATGTGCCATGTGTCGTGAATCTTCCTCTGTCCACCCTCATTCCCTTTCTCCCCTGTGTATCCTGCTGACTTCTCCTTCTCTCCTTCCTTCCCTGCCACCCGTACTGCTGATCAGGTTCATCCCTTCTTCCTCCTGGCGTATGTAACCACTCTGTCCTGCACTCCTCCTGGTACCTCAGGCTTCCCTACCCCCTCCCGTGTCTCAGCGCCCATCTTTGCCGCTTGAGTCACGGGACCCACTGCCTGAGGCTTCCCTTGTCCCGCCCTGGCCACGTTGGTGATGTGTTCCTTGATGATTCCCCCTCGAATATCTTCCAGCACTAACACTCCCGAGCCTCGTATCTCTTTCACCTTCCATCGCTCCGATCCCACCGCTAAGTCCAGCGTGTCGCGCTTAGCTTTGCGAAGGTATACCTCCTGCCCTGCCTCCACCTTATCACCCTTTCCCCCTATCCCTGATGCTTTACGCTGCTGGTATCGTCTTGCGTCACGCAGCTGCGCCACATGGAGGTTATCCAGAGCTGCCGGAGTCAGCTCCTTCAAATACTTTGCTCTCCTCTGGGCTAACTCCGCCCACAGGTTTGGCTCATCTGCCTCTATAACCGCAGAAAGCAGCTTCGGAGCATCGACCGGCAGCACAGGATCCCGCCCGAACAGTAAGTGGTATGGGGATAGGTTTCTCAGAGCCGCCTGCTTCGCGAACCTGTACCCCGCCAGCACCCACCAGAGATCTCGGTCCCAACTCCTTTTGTGGGACTCACTGTAGGCCCGTAGTCCTTTCTTCAAGGTCTGTATGAGCCTCTCGGTCAGTCCGTCTGATTGAGGATGGTACCTAGAGGTGACCCTGTGCGTGATACCCATCTCTTCCAGCAGCTCGTCGAAGCTCCCTTGAAATTCCGTCCCTTGATCAGTGAGTACCTCCCCGCATGCCCCATACCTGGTGAGCACCAGCTCCTCAAAGGCGTCAGCTATCAGTGCGCTGTTCTTGCTTGGTAACGCTCGCCGCCTCCACCCATTTACTCGTGTGCTCAACCATCACCAGAATGTACTGCTTCCCTCCTTTCGATAGTGGCAGCTCTCCCGCGAGGTCCAACGACCACCTGTAGCCCAACCCGCGAATTGGTAAAGAATGCAGCTCATCTCTCTCTTTCTCTAGCCTTGCTTTATTCCTCTGACATGCCTCGCAGCTCGCCACTAATCCTGCCACATCCTTTCCCATGCTCACCCACCAGTACATGGTGCTCAGCAGCTGCCGTGTTCTGGTTATGCCGAAGTGCCCCAGCTTCGCGTGCACATTCCCCATAATCTTGGCTCTCTCCTGTGGTTGTGGCACCACCTTCCACCCTTCGTTGGTTCTCAGCTGCAGCTGTTCTTGAAACCACCTGAAATGCTGCCCTCGGGCCCTGGCTCTCTCGCTCACTTCCTTCCTCTTCTAGTGGCTCCCCTTTGATCCAGCTCAAGGTCTCCTCATCCTCCCATATATCCCCTAACCGCTTCTTTCCTTTCTCCTGCCCCCAGGGTATCGCTGTTACTTGAGCCAGGGCTGCCAGCTGCGCTACCGGCTGCATTGGTGGCGGATTCCTTGATAACCCATCTGCGTGCTGCAGCGTTTTCCCAGGCCGGTGTCGGATCTCTAAGTCGAATCCCAGCAGCTTAATGGCCCAGCGAGCGTTTCTTCCCGTCAGCTCCTGATGAGTCATCAACCATAGCAACGGCTGGTGATCAGTCACAAGTGTGAAGCGCCGACCCTGCAGGTACACCTTGAAGTGAGTGATCCCCCATACAGCTGTCAGGCCCTCCCCCTCGTAAGAGCAGTAGTTAGCCTCGGATGGGCTGCAGCTGCGGCTGGCGAAGGCTACCACTCTCTCCTCTCCTTCTATCTCTTGGCAGAGCACTGCCCCCATTCCTGTGCTGCTCCAGTCGATGTATAAGATGAAAGGGGCATCTGCCCTCGGTATCTGCAGCAGCGTTCCCGTTTGTACTACTTCTAACAGGTCCTGCCTTGCCGTTTCCTCCAGCTCTCCCCACTGCCAGCTCCTTCCTTCCTTCAGCAGCTGATTCAGTATGTAGGCTCGGCGGCTAAAGTTCGGTACGAACTTCCTGTAATAATTCAGGAAGCTGAGTAACGCCCGCAGCCCGGTCTTATCCTTTGGTGCTACCAGGTTCTCCAGCACCTTAACTTTTGCTTCCTGTATCGCCAGCCGGCCCCCTTTCACTTCAAAGCCCAGGTAAGCCACGGTCTGCCTTGCTATCTTGCACTTGTCTGGATGGCACGTCAGACCCGCAGCTGCTATAGCCTCTAGCGTCTGCTTCAGATCTTGCACGTGGTGCTCTTCACTGCTGCTGAAAATCAGTATATCATCTATGTAGCAGGCTGCTGCTGGAATCCCCTTCAGCACCTAATCCATGGCCCGCTGGAACACTGCAGGGGCGTTACGTATCCCGAAGGGCATCACATTGTACTCATACAGCCCATCCACCCCGTGAAACGCCGTTTTCCGTTTGTCTTCCTCCCTGATGGCTATCTGGTTGAACCCCTATCGCAGGTCCAAGGTGGTGAAGATGATGGCACCTTCTAAGCGATCAAAGATGTCTTCTGCTGTTGGCATGGGGTACCTCTCCGGGCTGGTAATCTTGTTCAGCTCCCGAAAATCTCCACACATCCTTTTCGCCAGCACTTTACCCGTGATATCCTTCCTGGCAGCTACCACTGTGGCTGCTGCGTAGCTTGACTCGAACGGGCGGATAATCCCTGCTGCTAGCAACTCCTCACACTTCTCCTTGCAGATAGCCGCATCCTCTGCATTCATTCTCCTTCTTCGTTGGTAAGTGGGTATCTCTGTGGTAAGGTTTAGCTCCAGCTCTCTTCCCTTGTACCTCCCCAATTCCTGCAGGTTATAGGCGAAAGTGCTCCTGTGCTGGTGCAGCACCTCTCTGATTGCTTCTGCCGTCTGCTCCTTGATGTCCGTACCTAGCTTCCATTCCTTACCCTGCTCAGCTTCTTTGCCCCCTGCTAGTGCCGCAACATTCTCCTTTCCTCCCGTGCCCTGCTCAACAGCTGCATACGCCGCCTGCTTCTCTCCTTGTCCTTGCCTTTTTCCGGTCTCTCCTCCTTTATCAGCTGCCCCCTTCCTCATCTCTTTGATTAACCATCTCAGCAAGTGCTGGTCTATGGCTCTTCCTAAAGCTGCTTTGCGCATCCCTTCCTCTACCCCTTCTGCTGCGGTTGCTCCTGGCAGGTATCCCATGGCTAACTCCCGCTCCAAAAGCCGTCGGTTCCTCCCACTTCTTCTTCCGGTGATCGTACACCATCCTTGGTCCTGGTATTCCGTCCACCTCGATGAAACCTTGTGCCCTGGTGTATGCCACTAATGAAGGCCATGCCCTGCGAGCTTCCCCCACCCGGTTGCACTGGTACTGCCGCGGATGATCTGGTTTTACCACTGGGGCCGCCACCCCCCCTGGTTCTAAAATATCCTCTACTATCCTGCTTTCGTCCCTCTCCACTCTTGCTAGTCTTGCCCTCAGTTCCCCGTCTGGTAAGACGTTTTGCCAGTACTGCCGCACCCTATGACAGCATGCCCCCAACTGAGCCCCATCACAGCTCACTCCTCTCCCCAGTTCTGCCTCCACCAGCTCCCTTACTGCCCTGACCGGCTCGCATACGTCATTCCTCATATCCACATGCTCCAGGATGTAAGCATATTCTCCATTCACTTCACTCGTCCACTTCATTATGGTGAGTAGCTTGGTCACCATCCCCGTGCGCTCGTCCTGTAAGCCTTTCCCCTTTCCGCTCCTATTCCCCCAAACAGCTCCACTAGTGTAATGCTACACTGATCCAGGTGAGCGCTGCCGTTGCTCTTCCCCACACTTCCTCCCCTCCTACTGTTCTTCCTCAGTCCTTCTGCTCTCCACGCCTTCTTGGGTTCTGTCTTAACAAACCGTACTGGTAGTTCACTCAGCTCCTTCCCTTCCTCCCAAAAGTCCGAACGGTAGAGCACCTGCTCCTGCCAGGTACAGATAGTGGTGCCTATCTTGATGCAGCTCCATTCCTAGTAGGATATCATAGTCTTCTGATTCTGTCAACCCACACTGCACTCTGATAGTGGTCTCCCGCTTCTCTCCCGGCTGTAAGGTTATCTCTATCAGGTCCCGTGTGCATGGCATCCACTTGGGGGCCCCTCCTTCTGCTGTCATGATCAATATGCCCTTGCTTACAGTCTCTACGTTCCCTTGCGCTCGCAGTTGTGCCGTCAGCTTCTTCCCGATTAGGACGCTCTGTGCTCCTGTATCCACTACCGCGTTTTCTACCAAGATTCCTCTGACCGCCACGGCTTTCGGTTCCACCACTAAGGCTGTGGGCTGACAGACTAGCCTTTCCTCAGGGTGACGCCGTGCGGTGCTGACTTTCCCTTGATTCTCCTGCCGCCTGGAAATTCTTCGCTCTTGTAATTTCTGCTCCGCTCTGCCATCTGCCCCTCCGCTGCGCAGCCCCAAGTCTCCCCTCTCCTTTGGCGGCATAGCCATGGTCTCGTTTTCTGGTTCCCCTTCTTCAGAATCTTCCCCTTCGTCATCCCCCCAAGCCAGCAGAGCTTTCTCGGGGTCTTCACTGATCCCTGATTTCTCCATCTGAGCTTTCAGTTTCGCCAACTCTCGTTCTAACTGCAGCTCCCTTGCAGTTTTCCCTTTCGCCCTGTCTCCCTTGCTGTAGCATCTAGCTTCGGTATGGCCTTTCTTCCCACACCCCGTGCAGGTCGGCGCCTTGGGGCAGTCACGCCTGAAATGTCCCTTTGCTCCACAAGTGTCGCAGATTATTCCCACCGTACAATCCCTCCGAAGATGTCCTTGCTCTCCACATTTATGGCAGCGTCTCGGGTCTTCCGATGGCCTCTCTTTCCGCTCTTCCTCTCCCCTTCTTCCTTCCATAGCTGCCCAGGCCGGCCGTTTCCGCTCGTTCGGTCGGCTGGAACTCGACCCCTGCATGCCATCATAAAATCTCTTCCCTTCCTCCACTTCTTTCGCCACCTTGTAGACTTGCCGCAGCGTGGCGCGTACTCTCAGGACGTACAGCTGACTCCTCATGTCGCCTATCAAGTCCTTGTCCAGACCGTTGACAAATTTCGTCACCAAGAGGCGCTCCTCCATACACCCCATGTCCTCTGCCAGCTCCAGCAGCCTGTTGTAATAGGCTAGCAGCGACTCCGAAGTGGCACGCACGAAGTTCTGAAATTCCGCCATCCGTTCCGCCGAGTGCCCCGGGAATTGCTCCTGCAAACTCTCCAGAAATCGGTCCGTTATCATTGCTGGTGAGAAATCGCCTCTCTTGCACTGCATCAACAGCCCCTGCCTTTCCACGCGGTAGTGAGTCAGGGCCTCACCTTTCAAAGTCCGTCCCAAACCTCTAAAGAACTCGATAGGGTCTAAGCCCTCCCTCTCCCAAAGGTAACGCAGGGCGTCTATCATTATCAAGTAGTTCTTGAGCGTGGGCTCCTCCCCTGGTGTCCCCGAGAAACGGTCCGGCACTTCAATTTTCGGTAGAGCTGCGTTCATCGTGCGGCCCGTCCCCCAGCTCGTGTTCCCTCTATCCCCGTTGTCCACCGGCCGACCACCTTGCCTAGCTTCAGTAGCCTCATATCCACCCGCCGCAAAGCTGTGGTACGCTTCTCCTCCTCTCTGACGGCGTCTTTCTTCGTGATGTTCATCTTCCCCGCGCTGACTGTGCCGTTCTTCCCGAAACTCTTCTCTTCCTTGAGCAGGATTATCCCCTCGAGATCCACTCCTCACATGGCCGATTCCACTTCCGCCAGCGACTGATCCACCAGTAGCGCTAGGCGGCGGCTCCCCTTGTCGGTCGCCCTCCCTCTCTCGATCTGATCCCTGACCCCTGCGCGCGTTAGCATCGCCCTCTTCAGCACGGAATCCAGGTGTCCTGATGGGTAGTCCTTGTCCCTCCATCATCCTTGCAGGGAAACGGAGTCCCGAGCGCAGCTGATGAGTGTGCAGTTCCTGATCGTGCCTACTCATTCCTCACGGCGCATCACCGTGAGCGACTCGAGGCTACTAGCTTATCTCCTGTACTTAAGACAGTCAACAACCTTTTTGCTTGTATGTAGCAAACGTAACACTCCCCCTCAGGGGCTCCGTCAAATTGCTTATAGCTTCTCCTACTGCTAGTTCCCTCTGGATTAGGAAAACAAATTGCAGTTAATGAGAAACATACAAGCAAAAAGCAAGAAGCTCGAGTGCTACTCCTGCCTACATCTATTCCCACCCCCTGCCTAGGTTGCTTCCTCCACAAGCAAGCTCCTGTGCACCAAGCGAGTCAGCCGGGCTGCTCGCGAGGTTTCCAAGGTGCTAGCTATGTTCCCACAGGGCCCACTAGGCATGCACTGCCTTCCAGCCTGGTGAATTCGAATTCAATTCCCAGGCTGGCATTGAATTCGCCTTCCAGCCTTGTGACTTCGAAATTGATTTCACAGGCTGGAATTGAATTCGTCTCCACCAACCTCCTTGAATTCGCCTCCCACTAACCACCTCAAATTCCCCAGCTACTCGGCTCTGCAGTACGGTACAATACACTCCAAGCACACAAATGAAATTAGAGTACAAAAGCAATAAACTATAGTACACCCTCACCTTGGCTGCTGTGATATTCACACTTAGTTGCCAGCTAAGTGTTAATAACGCGACACATGTCCTTATCAGTATGTGGACACTGGTGTGGATGCTGGTGTGGACACTGGTGTGGATGCTGGTGTGGACACTGGTGTGGATGCTGGTGTGGACACTGGTGTGGATGCTGCCGACCCGTCTGGGCAAAGTGAGAGGGAGTGCACCCATGCACTTCTGCCCTCTCCCTCCCCCAATTGCAACACGGACAGCACACATGCGCACATGCACCGCCCATGCCAAGCACACACCTCCCTGCCAACGGGTATCTCCAGCGCGTACTGCTGGGTGAGCGAGGGCACACTGCTTGGCTCTCCCTTTCCCTCTCCCTCTCCCTCTCCCTCTCCTCTCCCTCTCCCTCCTCCCCTCTCCCTCTCCCTCTCCCTCTCCCTCTCCTCTCCCTCTCCTCTCCCTCTCCGCTCCCTCTCCCTCTCCCTCTCCCTCTCCCTCTCCCTCTCCCTCTCCTCTCCCTCTCCCTCTCCCTCTCTCCCTCTCCCTCTCCCTCTCCCTCTCCTCTCCCTCTCCCTCTCCCTCTCCCTCTCCCTCTCCCTCTCCCTCTCCCTCTCCCTCTCCCTCTCCCTCTCCCTCTCCCTCTCCTCTCCCTCTCCCTCTCCCTCTCCCTCTCCCTCTCCCTCTCCTCTCCCTCTCTCCCTCTCCCTCTCCCTCTCCCTCTCCCTCTCCCTCTCCCTCTCCCTCTCCCTCTCCTCTCCCTCTCCCTCTCCTCTCCTCTCCTCTCCCTCTCCCTCTCCCTCTCCCTCTCCCTCTCCTCTCCCTCTCCCTCTCCTCTCCCTCTCCCTCTCCCTCTCCTCTCA